AACAAAAATTGCATTATATATAATAATTGTGATGTTACTGGATAATAATCAACTAGAGAAGGCATTGCACGCTGTCTCGTTATGTAGAGAGAAAAAAAAGTTCATAAGGGAAAATCTTGACAAAACAGTGATTTGCAAGTTGGCAAATAACAAACTCATTCCATGAACCTAAAAAATTAACTTTTCCTCTCCTAATTACTGCACAGCATTTTCTCATTGACACCAAACATACACAGAATGCTTTCTGTCTTAAATCAAAATTAACTTAATGCTATTCATAAATCAACAGTTTCCAGCAATAAGGACAGTCTCAGTATCAAACAAGGAGGATCCTTACTGCTGCCAGAACACAAACCTTTTTAATGTAGACAAAGTTCTAAGTTACTGTCAGTTAAAAATTCAGAATACAAAATAGTTATCTCTTAAGATCATCCGATATAGACATCTGCAGGGAGAGTAAGTCTTCTCCATACCACTTTGCAAAGATGAAAAACAGTGTCAGAGCTAGTTTAAGTTCTTCTATTGGCAACAAAACTACAAAAAACCCTGATTATCACTCTTGCATATTTCTTCCTTACAATCCCTGCACTATCATAATGCTACCATACATAGCTTGATTTACTCCAGTTCTCACCCCCACCTCCTCAACAATTTCCCCACTGGCTCCATCAACTTAAAATTGTGATTTGAAAGAGGCAGTCATAACTGTGAGAACACTCATTTTCTGGCACAAAGAACAAGTAACTTGAGCCCACCAGAGTTTGTCATTCCCCCTACTTTTAATGATCTGTACCACCCCCTATTTTTGGAAAGTACATGTTGTGTTTGTCAAAGGAATAAAGAGACCCTTAAGTTCCTACATATAGTGTGAAGTTCCAAGTCTAAAGTATTGTTTCTGATTAAAGAGATAAAAGGCAAACGTGGAAAGGAAATAATGTCATTGAAGAACTCACTGCTGGTTTATTTGTTCCTACAATGCTGGCTCTTCGGTATGACTGCCGAAGAGCAAAACTTCAGGTCTCTACAAACTTCAGTCAAACTACCAGTAGCACATAAGGTTTTCAGTCCAATTCGTTCTCACCACACTGAGCATTTCAATTTAATATTCTGTTGATTTAAGTACAGATGCACTTATTCAGTAAAACTGACTTGTGAAAAGCTAATTTTCAGTCAGACAATGAGGCAGCATCACCAGCAGTGACTGAGGTAAGTGCGAGGGTGAGCACTAGATCAAGACGTACAGGGGGGTTCCCAAGGTCAGGGACTCCTGAGCAAGAGCTCAGAGCTGCATCCAGACCTGGAAGCCTTGGTGAGGCAATCAAGCTGGCAGATAAACAGACGCAGAGCCGCCCTGGGGAGAAGGACTTGGGCTTCTGGTGGTGGCCAGCAGGGAGCGGATTCTGCTGCTCTGCTCTGGTGAGACCGCACACGGGTCTACCCTAACCCTGCATCCAGCTCTGGGCTCGCAGCACAGGAAGGACATGGACCTGCTGCAGCGAGTCCAGAGAAGGCCATCGAGACGATCAGAGGGTTAGAGCAGCTCCTACAAGGAAAGGCTGAGCAAACGGGTTGCTCAGCCTGGAAAAGAGAAAGCTTTAGGGTGACCTAACAGCAGCCTTCCAGTACTTGAAGGGAGCCTACAAGAAAAGACAAGGACTTTTTACAAGAGCATTTACTGACAGGACAAGGTGGAATGGCTTCAGAGTGAAAGACAGGAGGTTTTGACTGCAAGGGAACTCTTTGCTGTAAGGGTGGTGAGGCACTGAAAGAGGTTGCCCAGAGAAGCTGTGGATGCTCCATCCCTAGAGGTGTTCAAGGCCAATTTGGATGCTGCCCGGAGAACTAGGTCTAGTGGGAGGTGTCCCTGTCCACAGTAGAGAAGTTGGAACAAAATTACGTTTAACATCCCTTCCAATCCAAACAGGCTATGACTGTATGAATTTCAATAAAAGCAGCAAGTTTTCTCTGGGCTCCTCAGAGCAATTATAGAACAAACCACTATTTATAGTGTTTCTTCGGTTAGCAATGAAAATGTGTTACATATCACAATGGGTAAGATTGCTTTTAACACAGAATAACCTGATTCTTTTTTCTCTTGTACTGCTTGCAAGACTTTCACATACCAGTCTAATACAGCAAGCTTGTATTTTAAGAAGGGTGGTGTAAGTAATGCAAAACTACTTCAAGACAGAGCTTCCAAATAAGTCTTGTGTAAGCTAGAAGACATGGGCACCTTCTGCCTGGCTTCTAACCTACTGCAGTCAAACTGCCCTGAGAAGGTTTTCCTCCCCATTTCCTTTAAATATAACAGCAAACCTAACCCAGCAAATCAGAGTTTAAAAATCACTGAACATCTTTAGTAGCACTGACAAAAAGAGACCAGGGTTCAGATTAATAGCCTCTCAGGAATGCTGACAGTCTTAAATCAACTGCATCTCTAAATGCTACTATCAAAACAAATTCCCACTTAGTAACTACTGACTTACTACATACATGTACCAAACAACAACAGTTCCAAAGGAAGAAGTAGAGAAAATATTTATTGTATAAAATACAAGATGTCCTTATACTTTCTTGTAAGCCAGTATTGTAATTTAGAACAGTAGTTGTAGAGTGAAAGTCTATCAACATGAATGCTTTTCAAAACATCATGTCCACAGCCACTCTGCAGCTCAGAGCTTAGTAGCTCCCCTTAAGAGTTTCAATGGAAATGCTTCAACTTCTTCTCAGGCGTCACCCAAAGAGTTCAGGAATTTTATCCAGAATTATTTCAGTCCTGGGAGTTCATTACATGATAAAAGCTAAAAAGGCCACACTACCTATATTGAATGGCCATATGGGAAAAAAGAAATGAAAGCTATTAAAGTAAGCGTAGAATGGCTCTTGACAAGAAAACTTACCTGTATCTCAAATACAAAGCTTTGAGATGACCTCCTCTAAATCATGTAAGTGGACAGGAGATGTAAGACGAGGACAGCTGCAGCGACTAAAAGCTGTACTTTACAGCCTCTTAGTAGCAGAAATCTTTCATACCATGGCAATTAATTTCTGCCATTCTTGTCATTACTATTAGGCTAGGATAATTACAAACTCTAAGTCTACTTATTGTAACATTTACAAGTGTTCAGTCTTGATTTCCAACAGCGACAGCAGAGTAACAAGACCAAATCAGCCACATCAGCCCAGAAAGAAATCTAATAAATTTTCCTCCAGAACTGGTTTATGAAATGTTATATTTCCAAGCTTTCTGTAGAAAGTCGCATGACCCTCTTCTAATGCATCCTATGTGCTTCCACCACATATCTTGGGTTCTGCACAGCTTCTGTATTCCCTTAAACATATTATAAGCTGTCTACAAGTACAGCTTCAAAAGAAATAGTAATGCTACTGAAAGTGTACAAAGTTTCTGTTTCTATTCCCCTTGTCACAAAAGAATTTAATGAATTTCAGAGCACCTTTATGAGACACATGATGAGTACCACAGTTGAGATTCTAATCTGATCTGCCACTAAAATAATGAATAGAAAACTTCACAAGTATCCCACCCCAAAATAACTAATAATAATCTTTTAACAGCACAGTACCTAGAACTAAAATGACTCCTAACAACACAGCTACCACATGCTTAATTGTTCATTCTGTATAAACAAAAACAATCTATAATGCAGGACAAATACATGGGATGCTCCTTAAACATAAAGGCTCATCTCAACTTTTTTTTTTTAATTCAAAGCTTTTCATTCATGGACTTAATTCTTCTGTGATACTCTGGAAGAAAATACACAATGTTATTTTGAAAAACACCAAAGAAAATATTTTCAGAACATTCCAGAGGATGTAGGGGCAATAAACCAGAATTTCTTGAACTGGTTTCTCAGAGGCATGCATTTCATACAGAAAGCAGGAAGAGCCTAAACTGATCTGACAGAAAGCCTGCACAGTTTTGTAAGCAAAAAAAAAAAAAAAAAAAAGAAAGAAAGAAAAAAAGGAGAAATTGCAAATATGTGAAGCAGCAAAAGAACATCCAAGCACTTGATAACCCTCAATAATCAAACCTCTTTGAACCTTATAAACTCTGGGACATGCAAAACTTTCCACACAGGACACTGAAGTAACACCCAACACTCTGAGGATAGAGCTGACCAACTTAAAAAGCCAAATGTGACACCACAAGTTACTAGAACGCAGTGGTTTAGAAAACTTTCCAAATTTCTTAATACTGAACACATACACATGTATATACGTGTGCGTGTGCGCATATATGTGTATTTGTTTCTAGACTGTAAAACAGACTACAGACTATAGACTGCAAAACAAGCCCCTGTACTTTACCTACGATTACCAATTCATTTCCTATTTCTCACAACTTCATATCATAGATACACAGCACTGGAGCCACATACCTGCACGGCTGAAGTCGCACACCCAAGGGACGTGTCCCCTCTATCTCCACCTTACTGGAAACGCCATCTTCACCCCTCCACTCAAAGAGACCCCTTCTCCCCAAGCCGTGGGATTCTGTTCCCTGCCCAGGCCCCTCCACACAACCGCAACTCCTCCCGCGGGCAGGAACGGGTGGGGCGGGGGGTGTGCGGGTTGCCTTTCCCCCAGCACCGAGAGCCTCCTTCCCCCGCGGTGGGCACACGGGGCAGGACAGGGACAGTCACTCCCCTGGCCCACGGAGACTCCCTGACAGTTTCGGGAGAGGAACCCCACAAAACCCCCCACCCCGCCTGCGACCACCCCACGCCCGCCCCGAAAGTTCCAGCGCGGCCCCCCCAGCCCCAGCCCGCTCCTCCGCAGGCCCCTAAGCCGTCGGGGCGGAGAAGACGCTCGGCCCGCACCCCCTCCTCACCCTGCAGCCCACACCGCAAATACCCCGCAGGCGGGCGGGGGGGCGCCGGGCCGGGCCCGCCCCGCCCCCGAGCCCCTCGGCTGCCCCTCAGCCCCTCGGCGGGGCAAGGCCGGGACCCCCACGCCCGCCCCGGCCCCGCACTGACCTGACGGGGGGGGGCGCGGCCGCCGCTCGGGGCTACAGCGGGGGCTCCCCCCGCCGCCGCCGACCCTCCGCTCCCCGGCCCGTCCTTCTCCGAGCGCCACCGCAGGGCAGAGAGCACAGGAGTCGGAAACGCGAGGCGAAGGGAAGCACCGGCCCCTCTTCCCTTTCCCAAGAAAATTTTAAAAAGAAAAACGGGGGATTTAAAGGGCTCGGCCCGGAGTTTAAAACAAAGAGGCGGAAATAGCCGAGTGCGGCCCGAGCAGAGCCGAGCGGGGGCGCCGCGCTCTCGGCGCATGCGCGCGGGGCGCTCACCCGGGCACGGCGCCGGCCGCCCCCTCCTTCCCTCCCCCGGGCAGCGGGGCCGGCGAAAGGGGGTCCGGAGCCCCCGACAGGCCTGGGCCCGAGCCATGTCCCGGTCATAGAACCGCACAGTACGCTGGGTTGGAAAGGAGCCATCAGGATCATCGAGTCCAACTCTCTCATCCTTGCACAGGACACCCCTGAGAATCACAAAATCACACCATGTGCTTGAGAGCATTGTCCAAAGGCTTCTTGAGCTCTGTCAGGGTTGGTGCTGTGACCACTTCCCTGGGGCACCTGTTCCAGTGCCCAACCACCCTCTGGGTGAAGAACCTTTTCCTGATACCTAGCCTAAAGCACTGCTGACACAACTTCAGTCCATTCCCTCCGGTCCTGTCACTGTCACCACAGAGGCGAGATCAGTGCCTGCCCGTGTGTCTCCCCTGGTGAGGATGTTGGAAACTCCAATGCCCCCTCAGTCTCCTCCAGGCTGAACAGACCAACTGACCTCAGCCACTGCTGGAATGGCTTCCCATCAAAGCTGTCTTCACTGCCCTCCTTTGGATATTAATGGCTTGATACTTTTCTTACATTGAGGTGCCTGGAACTGAACTTAACATTCAAGGTGAGGCCACACCAGCAGAGAGCAGGGGTAGCAGTAGAGGCTGTGTGCCCAGCCTTGAAAAATCCATGCAACTTGTGAGCAGCAAGGTGACATCAGCAAAGGTGGTTGGCTTTTAGGCAGGATGTGCCTGTGTGTTGCTCCAAGCCGCCTCTACTCGCTGAAAGGTTTTCCTCAAAAGCGCACAGGTGTCTTTCCAACTGATGAGAGTGGAAACTTCAGTAGGAGCTCGGTGGAAGGAGAAATTTTAATAAGAGTGCTGGTCACAAGACACACTGTATCAAAGTGTACGTGGCTCAAAACACTCCTGACTGATAAAATGACAAGATCCTGTCTTCCTGAAGGTGTGAATTCATAGGTCAAAGAGCATGCACAAAGCTTGGGAAGCCCATGCCAAGTTCAAGTTTGTACCAAACAGCTGAACATTTAACTTGCAAAGGCAAGTACTTAAAAATTCACCTGTCCAAAGACTAAAGACACCAAACCAATCTTCACCTTCTCAAATATGCACATATTTTGAATGTGATCCTTTAAAATACCTGCATATTTCCCTCTTTCCTTTCTTCCTTTCCAACAAAGAATCAGCCATGAGACAATCTTCCACCTTGTCTAAAAATGCCATTGGAAATGGGCTATCTGATATGGCACAAGCCCTCCATGTTCTACAAACTACTGAGCTTTTATTGTGTGCCAAGACAGGGGCTGTGCTTGGCTCTGGGAGCTATGTTTTCCAGATGCTAAGCCTGAGTTAATGGAAAATATGTCAGCATTTTAGATTTGCTTTGTTTCAGTTCAAGGGTTATGTAGTTACATGAGTGCATCTTGTCTATCTGAAATATAAATTCTGTTTCCAGTTTAACCACAAATTACTTTGTTGTGTGTTGTAGAAAATAATGGGGCTTCCTATCTGACCCCTGGAACTGGGGTTCAAGTATCCAGAAGAAAAAGTAACAAACTATAAGTATGTGCAGGAAATTATAAACTGTATGCCTGCTTTTCTTGTTTGGTTGTCTTGTTTTTTTCCTAGTGTTTCCAAACCAAACACTACAAATTGGGAAAACCATTAAGGCCACGGTGTACAGGTGTTGACTTTCTCTTGCTATAGAATTTTTTTAGAAGATGGCACCTTAATCAAGATGATACGACCATGTCTACTACAACAATTTACGGTAATATACCCACTGTGACAAGATTTGTGACCCTCAGAGCACAGGCAGTGGTTTGCCCTCTTCGCAACCTCATCACCCAACAGCAGTGCTAATGCCTTCGGCAGTACCATTAAAGTGTGTGTTAGACATAAGTGGTGTCTCTGAAATATAAGCTTTGCCAGTGACTAAAGCATCTAATATCACAATTAGAGTGCCTTTTCTGAACTACAACACTGGATATTAGAAGAGAAGTGAAACTTTTTGTTTGCATTGCAGTCAGTGAGCTGTGGTCAAACTACTGAATTTCTGAGTGACTTGAGGAGAACTAGAAACTGCATTTAAAAGAGTCTTGAAGTTCGTTTTACATGCATTAGTCTTCACAATTTTTGCCCAAATAAGAGCATGATGTGAACATGGGTAAATTGAATCTCTACCTTCCAGAAACATGTATTTCCTCACTAAAACGATTCATGGAACAGAATCTGTGAACTTCTTGACAAAAAAGAACCCCAGACATCTCAGGTAAAAGAAGGTTTTTTTACTTTCTTTAGGTCTTCTAACAGTGAAAAGGAACTGGTCAGCATGAGAATGTTAATGGTATAAACAAAGAAATTACTAGAAACCCAACAAAGCAACACATTTTCATAAGCAAAGCAGAAAAGTAGCAAATAAAATTAGTAAAGCACAAAGTAGGAAAATAAAGGACAGAATTACTGTAATTTAAGACTTACTATGATAAAGTGTTTAGGAAGAGAAGTATTGAGAACTAATGTCCAGTAGTTTCTCAGAGCACAAGAGTTACATCAGTTCTGTAGGTCTGTGAATGAGACTGTTTGCGAGTGCTGAGAGTCTGTTGATGCCATTGCAAGGCTACTCCCCAACTATCACCTTTTTGAGATCATGGGGACCAGGCAAGTCCTCCAGTACTGGAGAACAGTAATTATTTCACCTGTCTTTGAAAACAGTAAGAAAGATAATTTAGAGAACTACAGCCTCACTTTGGTCCCTGAGAATCATGGAGAAATTAAAGATCTCAGGGCTGGACTCAAACATCTTGCAGCCTAAAACCAAAGAGCTCAGGCATTGACCAGCTTATTTCTTATACACATATGCACCAGGCACACAATTTAAGCACCATATTCTAATGGGCCAGTCTGTAAGATATAGGCATTATCAGAACACACACACAGAATGTGCGAGGTTGGAAGGGGCATTTGGAGATCACTCAAGATCCCTGCACAAAGGAGGATAAGGTAGAGCAGCTGTGTCGCTTCTTTAGTTATCCCCAGACCCAGTACTGCCATTCTTACATTATAGATCCTGCATGGTCATCCTAAGGACTGAATGATAACTTCACTCTTGCCCGGGAACCACTGGAAGACCGTCATTTGAATGTCAATTTCACTACAGCGATATTCTGGCTTCAGAGATGTGGTCTATTAATTCTCTGATCTAAAAATAAAGACCTGTAGGTCCTTCACAGGAGGAGCTGTGAGCTACCACCCCCTACAGACACAGCTGCATAGGTGACAGGCCAATCAACCAGCTAACTGTCTTGGCAAGAGACTACTTGGAGGTTCACTGCTTCCCAAATTCTGACATTCTGAAATATTGTTCAGCATTTTGTTATAGATGTTACCTGAGCATAAGCATAATAAGCATAAGTTTTTAAAATCATAACTGTTGTGCAAACTCCTGCATCTGTGGAATAGTAGGAAATTCCTGTTTCTTTCAGGAATTTTAATATTTTGGATTTGGTGAGTTGATATCTTTCTCCCTCTTGTCCATGCTAAAGAATTCATAAAGCATTTTCTGAGTCTCTAGCTAAACAGTTTTATTCCTAAACTGATCTGCATAATTGTTTTTTATGAATTAAGGATACTATAAAATTCAGAGAGGTTTAAACCCAAGTGATAAATATTTAACTATACCCTCAATCATTCCAACCCACTTGAGCTGTTCAATCGTCACTGTTACTTGGCTTTCAAGGTCCTCCATTTCCCATGGAAAAAAAATCCTTCATTTTCTCTCTGGTCTCAATGTCAAATAAATCAAGTTCATTCCCTAGTCAAATCCACTGAACTGTATGAGACAAACTGATTCAGCAATCATTTGTAAAAGAGGAAAAAGCAAATACCAGACGTTTAAGTATCTCTAGTCTTACAAATATTTCCTCTGGTAAGTGAAAGATTAATGCTCTTGCCAGAGCATGTAACTGTTAGCTAGCAATTAGAAACTTCTGGTTATGAAGTCCTCCTCACCAGAAAACCTCTTAATGTTTCAAAGATGAGCATTAGATAGAAAAGTAGAAATAGTGAGGGATTTAGTGACTCAAGAAATAAGAATCTTTTGCAACTAGTCCTTATATAAACACAGCTTAAATCCCTTCAATGATCTGGGTTTTAAACACAAAAGCTTTACCAATATACATACTTTTAAATTATGAAATTTATACTGAGGGCAGGGGGCAGCAGGGAGAAGCAAAACAGAAACTCTTTCTCAGGTCCCAGGAGTTCTTAGTCTTGGATATTCTGTTCTCAGAACCTGGAGCTTGCTCCAGTAAGAGGAAAGTTATCAGCAGTCTACTGCAGTGTGCAAGGCAATGTGTGGTCCCTGTGACTGTCACCTATAGATATTGCATTGAAACTGAGGAGAAAGTTCTCTTCCTGACTGGTGCTTACCTTCCTGACTTCTTCATGACCATCAATTTTAGTTTGGCTCTAGTTTGCCACATTGAACACTGACAAGAACACTGGTCAGTCTTTTGATCGACTACACAAGTACAAACCACAAAGATCAATACTTAAATTCCAGTAATTTAATTGCAGACACACTTCCATGCAACCTGTACAAAATTAAAAGCAGAGCTGGTAAGCCAGAAGTAAAGTCTGTAAAGAGGAGCAGGCTTCAGGAGAAAGGAACATTTAGAAAAAGGGACAAAAATAATTTCTTCTTGAGAATCCAGCATGTGCTGATTTACCACTTAGATAAGCACAAGTCCATGGGACCAGATTGTACCACCCAAGGGTACTGAGGGAGCTGGTGGAGTCACTGAGTAATTTTCAATTATTTGCCAGCAGGTGTGGCTAAAGAGGAAGGTCCCAGGTGACCAGAAGTTAGTCTAGACACCCACTGCCAGCAAGGGCTGGAGAGACAATCCAGGGAACTGTCAGTCTGACACTGGTGCCAGGGGAACAA